GCTCCCGCCCCTCCTTAAGGTCCTGCCCCCCTGTCGAATTATGTATGGCCAATATCAATAAATACACTTAGTCTAAAACAGTCAACGTTATTCATGTATGTAGCTTATTTGATATAATGAACAATCATTTTGGATCTTTCTAGAAACTTCAAATATTACCTTTAATTCGTATTCAATTACATTCGAGGAAACACATTGAAGATTAAGGAGCCACTATAAACATGAGAGGACGATTATACAAGAATGTCGAAACTTCATGAAATTTACAAAAGTATAATTCAGTTATGCGGAGAATGTCCCCTGGCAATTATAGAAATGAATATAAATAAACTAACATTATTATAAGCTTTTAGATCCAACAAATATCAATCTAGAACAATTTATATAATTCTAGATTAAATTTAAAAACATCCTCATAAATAGTGAAAAATGCCTTTTGTAAGATATTATTTATTTTACAACGAAATGTCTGCAACTAAATGCCATAAATATAACCAACTTTAATTTAAGTTAAAAGGGTCCCCGTTGGGGTCCATTACATAAGTATGCCGTTTAGTTATGCCTGAGAGAGAGGTCCTATTAAAATTACGTCTATAAACAATTGAGTTAAATTTACAAGTTGTCTATTAAAATGAATTTTATATTTCTTAGGTGCAATTATTCAAATTTCTGGAAAATACTAATCCCTAATGCCTTATGCTATAGCATTGTCGAAGCCTAGTAGTATTTATATAGATCCAATTTTTTATTATTTATTTTTTGCTGGCATCCATCCGTCACAAATCGACGATGGTGTTGACTTCGCAGGACGAAATCCACTAAGCCTGTGATTTTTTTCTAGAATTATATACTGATTCCCCACAGCAAGTCGCCCTCTCCACGCCGCATGATAAACCAGTGGCACATCATGTGGATGATACCAGTGGCATCGCAGGAGTTGTGGGAATAAGTCGTTTTACCAATGTTATCCACCTACGGGACTCCATCTCCGGGTTTGATTTCAGAGTCTCCATCTCTTAGATGAGTTGCCATCCAAGGTTGACGAGTCCGATTCACCCGGTGTCTGATGATGTTTTTGCTTGACTTGGCTTTGACTGCAATTGAACTCCGGCCCACCAATTTGCTCGGTTTAGACCACTCAGCAACCCAGCACCATAGTTTTAATAAGGAAAAATAAAATTAGGCCCCTGACCCCAAAGTCATTAATATTATGAATTCCGTACCATTCGGTATTTGAAAATTAAAAATTAAGCGTATTTGGACTAGCTATGGTCAAAATCCGTCGGTTTATATAGGAGTAACTCTTTGTAATTTTATTAATATATATGAGAGTAAAAACGAATTTAGGGCCATCAGCTCCAAAAAAAAATTATTTTAAAAGTTCAAGGCCCCACTTCCAAAAATAAGTAAATCGTTGTTAACAATGATGGCTATGTGTACCGAATTTGGTCAAAATCCATAATCCATTAAGAAACGTATGCTGAACAAATCAGACCCCCCAAAAAATCCACAAACATATCCACACACAATGTTTTACTTATACAGATATAAATATGACATAGGATAATCACAAAGGCATACTTTGCAGGACGTTTTCATACCAATCGGTTGAACGCATTTATGCATTTATATGTGAGATAATATGTTTTTTTTTTCCTGTTTTTTTTAAAGAAAGAAAAAATACCTTTTTATCCTGCATTCTGTTGTAGGCGTTGCTTTCTCATCTCTAAGACAACATAATTAAATGTATTTCTGAGTTTATATGTTTAACACTTTTATATCAAAATTCAAATTAATTACTATTTGTTTTATGTAACATGTAAAGCATTATTCAAGGCTCTTTGAAATTATTTTGTTGTTGCTTTTTTTAGACATTCGCTAAGTCAAGTTCAAGTTTGAATCAATTAAAACACAAAGCCAACAGCTATTGCAGAGATTTGGAATTTATTCTTTAAAGCTTGAAGTTTGTAAAAAAAATTGCTTTAACAAAAAATAAGCCTTCTAAAATTTAATAAATCAAACAAAGTGCTTAGATAATAAGAAAAAATAATATTATTAATTAATAAAAAATTGCTTTTAACAAAGCATAAATTTAAATTATTACAATTAGATTTTTTTTTCAAGCCGTATACTGTTATGATTTTTAACTAGTATTTTAACAATAAATTTAAAACATGCGAAGCAAATAATTAATTGAACTTTTAAGCTCTAAATACTAATAAAAAAATTCAATAATCTTTGTAATTATTCTTGACAAAAATTCATTTAAAGTAAAAACTTATTAGTTGCAAAAAAAGTTACTAATTAACAAACTTATTCTGGTTGAGGCTTGAGCTTATATTTATTGTAAAACCCCAGCTAATTACATTGGCAGCCAGCTTCAACTGCTAGGCTGTACCACATAACATAACGTAGAACTCTCCCACCACCCTAGCCTCCACCGAAACATCTAGTGCTTGCCATTCAATCAACAGATGCGCTAGTTACTTGGGTCAGGCTCCGTACCGGCTTCTATGGTCCCTATTGTCTACCCTGTGAAAGATCGCGTTAGTAGGGCAGTGCTTGGCTATCATTTAGGTCCCCAGGCTTTGGTGTTGATGACGCAATTAACCTGGGATCCTGTCTTCTAGATAGTGGCATGTTAGCGAATGCACGTCTGGTCTTCGTGCTGTCTGCCCATTGCTAAAATAGTTTTAATTGAAACTTGTCTGAATACCCGTATTTGACACCCGTGTAAGTGTCTTGTGTTTGTTGCTGAGGCAAGGAAGCCCCGGTTCTTGCTGTTGCTTTTGTGCCAAGGTGTTGGTTTTTTTCACTGCATTTAACGTTGACATGGCTCCGATCCTCTCAAACTTTCCCACATCATCCAAGATGGTGCCAATAATATATAAGTTGGTGATACGCCCTTTTTTATTCAAGATCTCAAGACCTGATTTTGAATCGCAAAATATGACAATATCGAGTCCTACAAGCTCCTCCACTAAAAATTCTTACTAAATAATGCAATCAAAAGGCCCTTTTTTAATATTGTATGACATCTTAAATATGAAGATCATAGCCAAATTTCATTATACGAATGATTTGTTAAAAAGTCTGTATAATAAAAATGTTTAAAAAAACATATACAAAAAAATTAATGAAAACATACCACTTTTTTCATATAGTGCATCTATAATTACATACAAATGGAATTATAGTTGTGGAACCCTGATTAAATTATGTGCATTGATTCTCAAAAAGATTTTTTTTTTACAATAAAAATGTATGTAGAAGCTAGATTAGCTAGATTACAATATATATATATATATATATATATATATATATAAATATATACATGTATGTGTGTATGTCTGTTTGTGTGTGAAAACATAATGACATGTGATAAATTTTTTAAAATTATTTTGAAAACTCGTTTTAATCGTAAGGTCACTACACGTATTTTTTTAAAGAAAAAATGACGTGCCATATACATATGTTAAACATATTTTATTTTGATCAGTACAATAGTATATGTATTTTATATCTTGTAGTATTAGATTACTTTATAAATTCTCAGCGTAATCATCTTATTGTTCCTTTGGCGCCTAATTCATAATGAAATGCTTATAACATGCTGAGACATTTACATTCTTTTGGTATAGCCCTGACTGAACAACCATTAGTCATTTACACATGGCAGTCAATAGAATGCAATACATTAACAAGGGTACCGATAATAGGTCGTGTTCAAAAATATTTTGATCAAAGTTTACAACAAGTAAGTAGGCCTATACATTGTACATAGAAGAAACGGAAACGATCACTCCACCTAATATGTTTCATAAAGACAAGCTTTGTTCATAAGTTGTACTTTGACTGCCTAGCGACGAATTTTGATTGAGGTGTTTACGTACAATTCATCCAAACAATTGTTTGATTCATAGCCCGAAGCATCTCTTTAAAACTTCGTTATCGTTGTCTGACTCATTACTTTTTGAGCTATGAACGAAAAGGGGGGCACGATAAGGCAAGTAGAGTTCAGACTGAAGTTAAACTTCTATTACATGAAACATCATAGTCGATAAAACAGATTTTTAAAAAACGTGTGCAATCGCAAAGCTAAAAGGTATCGAACATAATTGATCATCACGACATCCCATTCCATCACGACATCCCATTCCTTCACGACATCCCATTCCTTGTTATTAGTAAAAAATATGCTTAAACAATCATGCTCTGATATATACGTGGGCAGTAGCTCATGACAAAAGCATAATGGGATGAAACACTCACATCTCACATTCTTGAATTACTATGTAGATATTTGAAAAAAAGAAGCTATGACCCTATCACACGAAGTTTGAATACATATTTCTTACATGAAATACCTTGTCACGTATACTATATTTTCTTTTTTTTTAAAGTAAAAGTCATAATAATTACTATAATTTCAAACAACTTTTAATTTATCTAAACATCGTTTACGGCGTTTAAAATATAAAATATAACAAATTTGTTAAAGATTTTTTTTTTTTTTTTTTTTTTTAAATGTGTACAGTTTTTAACATTTTAAAACGAAAATTTTGCAAAATACTAAGCTTTTAAAATATAACTAATTTGTTAAAGTTTTTTTTTTTTTTTTTTTGTTAAATGTGTACAGTTTTTAACATTTCAAAACGAAAATGTTGCAAAATACTAAGCTTTCAAATCCTTATATCTCATAATAAGTGACTTTTTGATGATGAAAATGAGCTCTAAATTTGTCCGTCTACATTTAAGTTTTTCAAAAACACCTCATAGCCAATTACATCAAGTGTTTAAAGGAAGTGCGATGCAAAATATGTCGTTGTTTTTTTTTTCTTTCTTTTTTTTTTTCTTTTTTTTTTTTTTTTTTTTTTTTTTTTTTTTTTTTTTTTTTTTTTTTTTTTCTTTTTATATTTTTTTTTTTTTTTATACTGTGAATAAGCCGCGTCTCGTCAGGACACCTCACCCGTCTATCTTATTTTTAGTAAGTAAGTCCTGGACTGTAATGTACTCGAAGTGGTTCCGTACAGGTTTCTTCATGACCACATATTCATTTGACGTTTTAGTAGTATCGTCAACAACAGTGGTGCAGTCATCGCGAACAGTCTCCTGAAAGGCCTTAGAACCCCCGTCCTGTTCCGTCACTCTCTGACCTACTCTGTTATAAGAACCCTCGAATGTGACCCCCAGGATATCCCACAGTGTGTCCTGCACAATCACTCTGTTGTAAATGTTACCAAAATGATTGCCGTCTTTTCCTTGTGACGCGTCTTCCAACACATCATGTTTGTTTACGGTAACGTCAACGCGACCATTGTCAGATTTCATGCGTCTGTCATTGTCCAAGTTCATCTCGTTGTAATCTACTTCATCAAATGAGTCGACCTCTTCGTAGACATCGCCATCTCTGAACTCTTGGGGAATACAAGCTTTTGCTTTCTTGCGCATGATTTTAACTGAAATGAAATATTTGATCTAATTTTTATTAGTTTGGCTAGAAAATTAAATTAGAAAGTTTTAAACAACATTAATTTATTATTGATTTTTATTATCTCATCAAAGATTTATATAATTATATTTATATTTCATCATTAAAATGTATGTGTTTATCACAAAGCTTCTTCTATAATAGGTGGGTTAGCGAATCAATACAAACCGTTCTATCATCTTGTCGTATTATTGGCGATATCATACTACTTTTTTCCAACAAATTGTATTCTTTTTTTTTCTTTTAAATATTTAATGGGAACTGTACCTGTGTTTAGAAGATAAAACCCAAGCACCGTCAGTAGCAAGATCACGAAGATCACAGAAACAATTATAAGTAGTGTCTTAATAGTCGACTTTTCTTTCGTTTCTTCTATAAATGATTGAGCATAATTAAATAAGATTGAAAAATTGGAATACATTTAGAGGTAATGTAAAATACAAAGTGAAGTATCGTATTTTGTTTATGCATATTTATGAATTGTTTGAAGTTTTAGCAATGGGAAATTAATACATACTATTAAATAAAGCGTTTAAAGTTAAATGTGTATTATTGACTGTGTTTTGCTACCAATCATAACATAATATGTACAAAGTTATATGGCAAATAACGTGTGTCGAATACGTTTGTTTGAGTTCTTTAGTAACAGAACAACAATAAAGAACGAAAATATGGATGTTACATTTAACATAATAAACGCATATTGTAATTCAGTCGGGGCACTACCAAAAAATGTAAGTATCTCAACACGCTATGAGCATAACTTTATGAATTATTCGTCAAAGGAAAATATGTTTATCTTCAGTAAGGTGTCAGTCATATTTGTTCAGGGCCATGATGAAGGCAACAGTAACATAATTGACTTTGGCGCAGCATTATATCCTTTACATTGTGATGTGCCGTAGTGAAGGAGACTTTAGTACGCAACAGAGGGACATGTATTCATGAAGTCACATATGCATGATTAATTTCGAATAATTAGTTATATTAAATATTTGCTTTTGTGTATGGTCTTGCATCTTAATAATTGCATCTTTAAAATCTGCATGTTGACATCCCACATTTCTTGAAAAGAAAAATCTTTTTTAAATTAAAAAAAAATAACAAATCTAAATATCTTTTAAATCATTTACATTAACTTCGCTTTTCTTCTTGGCTGGTGTTATTACCGTTTAACTGACTGGCACAATTTTTGGATAGGTAATTGATCTTCTTCACGTCAAAGTATCGAGCTAAAACTTTGAGCATAGACTTGTTGCCGATCACAACACATTCGATCGAATTTTCATGGAGCTACTTGTATGCGTGTTTCATCAAATTCCCCCGCCCCCCTTTTTAGCTCCATTTTGTATTTTTGTAATGGATTTATATGTACACGATATTTTAAGTAATTGTTTAATTTTGTGTAACTCTTTGGTTTCTTTTTCTTTAATTAATTGTCATTTTAAATGTATTAAAACAGTTTGACTATTCTGGTCATTACCTGTATTAAAACGACATACTTTTAAAATACAAAAAAATAGAACAGACTCACCCTGCGTAATAATGAAGCTGTAGTTCAATGCTGGTATGACGCCGTTGTCTATTATAAAGACATAGCTGTTGAAATCATTCTGTCCAGATATTTTAAAAGATACTTTGACTTGGGTTGCTGTCTGTCCAGCATCAACGACCAAATGGATCGTATAGCCGTGAGCCTCGATACCGTCTTCCGTGAAGTTTTCAAACCTGACTGCCTTGTGCCCATCTCTTATCATTGTATACAACGTTGGTTTTGGGTTACTGTCAATGTCAAGAACGATGGAAACAGAGCTGTTGATGTCCGTTCTGATAACACCATGTGTTTCTTTTGCGTTCAAGTCACTTAACCGTGGGGAACCTGACCATATACAACATAAATAAACTGTAAATTTTGTCAATGTTTTCAATTTAACAGGTCTTGCCTTATGTAAGATTGTATAAATTTGGAAATTACAATACATTCGAATGGCTTACATGTAGAGCTTTGTGCCTTGAATTTCAGAAGAAAAAAAACTGTTAATGCCTAAATAGTGGCCATGCAACAAGGAATATGATTCCAGTTTTGATCGAAGAAAAATATGTATTCAAATAAATTGCATATTTAAATTTGGTATTGGTATAACATCTTTTCTTTATTTAATTTAAATTAACTTATTTTAGGTGGTGTGTTTTAAGAAATGCGTTAACTAATTTGTTTTAAGAGTCTTTGTAAAACTATAAAACTATAACTATATTCAGTAGATTTTCACATAATTACGATAACAAACATAATATGTGTACTTATTCTATTTCTTTTTAAAAATTATCCTTAATATTTTTAAAAATTATATTTTCTGTACAGAATTTGAGTATGTTCAGTAAAAAATATATTTTAACAATTAATGTTTCTTCTGCTATTTATGTAAAACTTTAATAAATAGTTGCTTTATTATATTATATTGTCTTAAATTGTACTCATTTCAATCTTAATATATTTAAGAGTTTTTCACTTATTTTTAGTAATCTTTACTTATTGATAAGACGCTCGTTATCCAAACATCGCCCAGACTTTGGCTTAGTTGTTAATTGTATCACAGGAAAGGTGGAAAAAAAAATTGTTTTTTTCTTTTTTACCACTCATAGTATCCACTTTTTTCCCAAGGACATTTCATTAAATTTGAAAAGTATTATCATATTTAAGCTGGTGTAAATTATTGTTTTATTTTGATA